TGACACTAAAACCGAATGCAACACTGGCTAATTTGACAGCCTCGACAGTAAATGACAGTTCGGTGTCTTCATCAACACTAAATAACAGTGCCGGCAATGCCACTCAGACGACATTACTCAATGTCACCAATGGCAGCAGCCAGACGAGACAAACGGCCACCATGGGCCGCATCATAGGCAGACAAGGTAGGGCATTAATGGCCGGCAACAAAGGCCGTGAGGTGGAGGTGATAGCTAACAATAACAATAACAACAACAATAATAACAACACACAGTCAAACTGTGCACCACCACAGCCTAACATCGACACAGGGGGAGGCACAAAATCATCAAATGATACCGAACTAATGATGAGTGCTGGCATTTCTACAGATTTACAAACGGAACTGCACAAAATGGAAAATGTTGAACCATGCCAGCAAAGGCATGGTGCGACGACCGGCAGCACAAATGCCAATAATGCCAATGAGGATGGTGTTACCGAAATTCAAAGACTGACAACAGCAACGGAAACGGAAATACGTGTGGAGCCATCAACGCAAGAGTCAAACCAACCAGAGGCCACCAAGATACTGGTACGGAAATCCCATTTCCAAAGAGTGGAACAATTTTTTGTAAATATTTTCTTTAAACGGCGTTCCGCCGCGGCCAATACCTGCCGCGACAGCCAACGAAGTCATGTGGGCCTATTGGGTGGTAAATTTTGGAAGCGTTCCGAGGCCACCCCAACGCCCTTTGCCACCGAGCATCGATTGAAAGGCATACGCAGCAGTGGCAGTGGTAATTAAATGATTTTTTCTTTGATTTCAATTCTCTTTTCATTTGCTTTTGTTTTCATTTTTTTAATTTTTGCTTTATTTTGCCTTTTTTATTTTTCAATTTCATTGTTTTCGCAACGTATTTAGTTACATATAAGAAATGCGCTAAGACAACCAGTACAAACAACACCAGTACAACAAACACCATTTGCACTACCACACCAACAACAACGACGACGTCGACAAGTAGTAGTCGTGTAGACAACATTAACACACCACACAACAACAACAATAGTCACACAACTAATCCAAATACAAATTTAATCACTACCACTCCAGTAATCACAACGGCCATCAGCCAACAACAAATACCTCAACCACAGACACTAACACCTCAACATCCACAGAGTCCACAAGTTGCGCCAACTCATCCACAACAACATCACCCAGCACATCAACGCCCATTACCAGTATCGATGATCTCAATGGGGCCTTCCTTAAATACCAATCACCCGGTTATATACGCCGACCCCAAAAACGTTCGCAACACCAGCAGCGTCACTACCAACGATCGAACAACAACAAACACCAACATCAGCAGCAGCAACAGCACAACCACCACAACAAACGTTACTCCATCTACAGCATCGAATCAAACGGCGCACAAACGTGCCGATACGATCAGCCTAAATTCGAGTACGCGCTCCAACACCACCCGCAAGGGTATACTGAAAGCGCCTACACCTCCGCCTCGACCACCGCCACCAGTGCGTCGAGTAATTGTCTCAATGTCACAAACGGACTGCCAAGCGCAGCCACAACAACCGCGTCAGCGTCAACGCTTGGTCCAACGTTCGGTCAGTCTGTTGTGCCCCGGCCCCAAAACCGAAAGAGTTCAAAGTAAGATTTTTTGTTGGGTTTTGTTTTATATATTTAATTTCCATTATGCTTTTATTTGATTTTCATCATCTTCGGGTAGGTTGCAGTATCGAAAAGAAACAAATTACACAAATCATTTCAAAATTCATTGTTAATTAGGCTAGCCATCATCACTAACCAATTTCGTTACGAATTTCATACAAAAAAATACGCTTTAAGATCTGAAATGTTGGAAAAATGTAAAATAAATTCTTTAGAGGCTCCCAAATCCTTCGTATGGACAATTCTTCGCAAACACAAATTCATCTTAAAACAGTAAACTAGAAATATACTCATCTGGTGTAATAATTATGTTTTATATATGGCCTAAAAGTATGCATCACACATTGCAAATAATCAAAATAATAATAAAAAATCCTTCTTAAAAATCCACAAATTGAAGGCATGCTTCAAAAAATAATTTTTAATAAATCCATCTACGCCTTGAAGGTATGCTTCCAAAAATAATTTTAAATTATCCACCCTTGAAGGTATGCCTCAAAAAATGTTTAATTATCCTTGCCTTAGGGATATGGCTCAAAACACTAATTTTAAAAATCCACGCCTTATTTAGGACTTTGAAAAATATTTTTAAAAATCCCCGCCTAATATTGGACCTTGAAAAAATATTTTTTAAAAATCTACGCCTTTTATTTTTTGAAGGTGGGGACTTAAAAAAATCGATATCTATTGTTCAAGCTCTTATATAGTCCTATATTTTAAACAATTGATATCGATTTTTTAAGTCCCCACCTTCAAAATATTAAATATTCAAAATGTTAAAATAATTTCTTCTATGTCTTTTGAAGGTCTTCATGTCTTCAGAAGACATTGAAAAAATATTTTTAGAAAGTCCCCGCCTTCAAAAGACTCTGGTTTCAGCATCCCATAACTTCATTCCAATATTATAGAGTAATATTGTTAATCCAATATGATAAAATAATATTTTTATTTGAGCACCTGAAAATATGCATCACATTTTTTAACTTCTCATCAAATTAAATAGTCAATCCTTTAAACATACGGATATATTTTTATGTGTTTTATTTTAACCTGATTTACCTCTGAACATATCTGGATTTTTTGTTAATATTATGAGCCTAAAAATGTGCATCAAACATTTGCTATATTCTCATATAGCCTCCCGGCGAAAAATTGGAACTCTTAGTAATTGCAATATTTTAGATTAATATTCTTATACAGACGCCTAAAAATATGCATCACATTTTGAGAACTTCTCATCAATTGAAATAGTCAAACATTAAAAAAACGAACAAATGTTCATGAGTTTTTAAACCTGACGTTTTAAGTATTTTTTTTATAGCCTCCCAACGAAATAGCCAACATTTTGAATAGCCTAAAAATACATGTCATACCTTTCCATAAAGCCTCCCACAAGGAAAAACTCAGCTAGATGCGTTAGAAAAATGAATTCCTAACTCAATTGGAATAATGGAATGGAATAATAGCAATATTAATATTTACTAACTTTTCATTAGTGGAAATACACAAAAAAACACGATTATGATGTGTTTAAAAAAATGAATTACCTCTGAAGACATCTGGAATTTTAAGTAATTTTTATATTCCAATATAGGCTCCCAAAGAAAAAATCTCAGATAGATGTTTTTAAAAATGTAATTCCTAACTCAATTACACCATCAACTCAATTAAAACTCTTAATAATTGCAAAATTTTAGATTAATATTCGTATCCTCTTAACACATGTGGACTTCTTCAAAACATTTATAGATAACCGCCTAAGAATATGCATCATACTTTTTCAATATTCCTACCCAGTCTCCCAAGGAAACATTTCAGCAAGATGTATTCAAAAAATTAACTTCCAACTCAACTTGAACTCCGAAAATATTTTTTAATGATATTCCTAATTGACAGCCTAAAAATATGCATCACATAATTACAGAAAATAGTTCAAGTTTCCCAAGGAATACATTACAGCTAGATGTGTTCAAAAAATGAACTCCCAATTCAATTTGAACTCCGAAAATATTTTTTTATGATTTTCCAATTGACAGCCTAAAAATATGCATCACATATATTACGGAAAATATTTCTATAAAGTCACAAGTCATTTTTTGTTAATCACCTTCCCAATAAATGTGGTTCTTCTAATAGGGTTTTTATTTTTTTTTTTTTTTTTTTTTTATTTAAAAGTCTAAAACCATGCAACACACTTTTTATTTTGTATATCATCTGTGTATTCCTCAAAAAAATTTGTATTTTTTTCCTAAAAATTATTTTCACTAAAACCCCAAAAATATGCCACACTTTTTGTCAATTATATGTCATTAAATGTTATTTTCTTTAAAAATTTATTTAAACATTTTTCCAACAAAAAAGTTCGACTCCTTTGCCACCTTGTAACCTTCACAAGTTTTCATACCAGATTATTTTTTTTAATACTTAGAATAAAATAATTTTCTTTTTTCGTTTTTTTATTAATAAATAATTTAAATTTTTTCTTAAATGTGTAAGTAATTCTTAATGCTTCATCCTGTGAAGTACTTATCTGAACAAGAAACAAAAAGAAAAACTGAAATTCAAATTACATTACAAAAAGTTATAATTGAATATTTTTACAATGTTCAACAACGATAACAAGTAAGCAAAAAAAAAAATGTTTTCAAATCATTCATTCATTAACCCAAAATGTCAGCCCCCCTTTCCGTTCTAAATGTTTATAATTTTGGCAAATGAAATGCAAAAAAAGACAAATAAAAATTCCCAGCTTTGCAGTGTTGTATTTCCCATTTTTTCTGTAAACAAGTGTTTTGAAACGTGTTTTCTGTTTAAATTAATTAATTTAATTTTTTTACTGTGTGTGTTTTAAAACAAACTAAAGCATGTGTGTTACGTTAAAAAAAAGTATAACATTGTTTTTTTTTTATTTTTTCTTACTAAACTGAATTTTTTTAGGGAAATATCTTTAATTTTCATTATTATATATTTTTGTGTATAATTATTTAAGTTAGTTATTATATAAATAGGTTATTTTATTACTATATAATTTATTGCTATAATTTTAAATTTCGTTTTTCATTAATTAATTTAATTTTATTTTTTTTTCCTCCACAAATTCTAAAAATCCTTCTCCCTTAAAAACAAAAACAAAAAAATCGTTTTGTTTGTAATACCTAATTAATACAACTCTGTCATCTACTACTTCAATCAATCTCCTCAATACCAACCAATCATCATTTGCCCACTCCTCTATGGATCAACGTTGTAACAAAAAATAATAATGACACTGCTTTGTCAAAAATAAAAAAACAATCACTCAACAACCTGTTTGGCGTTTAGCAGTGCAAGAGAAGTCGTCTTCTATGGCGGATCCATTAACGGAACCTGGAGAGTATGAGAATTTGCCGTTCCATGGCCTACAAACGGCCCCTAATAAGGTACTTGTGTTTTTTATTTATTTATTTATTTATTTATTTTTTCCGTTTTTTTACACCAAACAATTTTTTGAAATTTTTATTAAATTAATTTGTATATTTTTTGTTAAATCTACAAACTACACACACTATTTACGTTCGTATTCTTGTGAAAGCTTTTACTGTCTACCTATCTATCTATCTTGCTCATATCATAAAAAGCATACATACACAACACATATACACCCACATTTCATGGTAATTTGCTACATCATCTTAGCATACATTTCAACTCTACCGATCTTAACCACCTCAGTGTTGCTGAGTTTTTGGACCTATCAATAGTCTATCTATCATTTCCATTACATCATGCATTCATTGAATCACTACGTAAATGTGGCTTAGTTGTCTTTCTTACATATTATCAATGTATTTTTGTGAATTTTTCTTTAAAAATATTTTATTTTTTCTTTTAATACAATTAGTTAGGTTGTTCGAACTTTTCTTAGGCGTTGCTGTGAACTCTACACCCACTATGAATTTTCATTTTTTTTTTCAATATCTCCAAGCAGTATTTGTTGTTGTATGTTATATGAAAAAACAATATAATTTTTTAAATACATATTCCAATGGTTATTTATATATACTGTTTAAGCAAATATTGTTGTCTATTTTGGGTTTTCTTTACTATTTCTTTTTATTTGCTTTGCAAAAAAATAAAAATATCTTTATGAGCTAATGTGGTTGTACATTTAGTATGTAATTATATTTTTTTCTATATTTTTCTTTGGTATTAAAATTTCTTTCTTAATTTAGTTTAATGGTTTCATTTTTATATTATTTTTAGTATGTCATTTTTAAATTTAGTTAGTATTTGTTAAGTACTTTTAAAATTTTTAATTTTAAGATTTTCTTCCATTTTCTGTGTAATCTTTATTAGATATTGTTTTTTTTATTAAAACCAAGACATTGACATTTTTAAAAGGATTTTTAGTGTAATATTAATACAATATAATAAAGAAATAATACAGGTTGTAAAAATATTATAAATAATAATGTAAACAAAATATTATAAATTAAAGAATATTTAAAACATTCCAAAATAATACCAACTACAATATAAAAATCCCAAAAGTATGCAACGAACATAACATATCTCCAACGTTATTTGGGAGCTCTATCAAAAAGTGGGCCTAAAACTCCCATAGAGGTCTTTCTGTATTAGATGACATTCCCGATATTCGTCATAGAGATTTCTCTGAAAGGTAATCGTCTATAGAAGGCTTCTGACTATTCTGCTACCTATAGAAAACATTTACAAAGGACCTTATAAACGTCCTGAAGATTTTAATACATTTCGAATGTATAAAAGTGCAATTAAAACAGTTTTATAAAAATTTTTTTTTTTTTTTTTTTTTTTTTTTGAAGTCATTCGTGGACCTTTGAGTGGATTTTATAAGGCGATCGTCTTTAGAAGGCCTCTAAATACTCTCTTATCCATAAAACTTCTATGGATCTGTTTAAAAAAAGAACTCTCTCCCAACCAATTTAAACCACTCGAAGGTTTTCTCTTTAAGTCTTTAGAAGGCTTCTGAAAAAACTCCTATCGGTTGAAGACAGATTTTCAGAAGTTTTGCTCATATATAAGTCCCTTAAAAATTATTCTATACTGTAATCATTCTCTCAATAACTCTGAAACCTCCTTAGCTTATATAAAAAATAGATCAAAATTTATAATTTGTAGTACAAGAATACTTTTATGTAGAGATCGATTAAATGGCACATGGAAGACCTTTGAAAGGACATTCTTAAAGATTAGAAGATTTACATTTCCAGTTTTAAACATATAGAAATCCACTGACATTATTTTATAAAATTTCGTATTTTCTGAAGATTCTAAAAAGTCTTCAGAGAGGCTGTTCTTGGAGGTACTCTGAAGATTTTTTCTATATATCCAAACTCGCAAAGGGAGGTTTTGAAAAGGTGAGCAACACCATTTCTTGGATCTGTATTTAAAACCTGTTTGTAAGAAGGTTTTCGAGCGCGCCATTCAAGCAAACCATTTAAAAACTGATATTTTTCTATCGAAAACAATTTCAGGCCACCAAAACTGATAGTTTTTATAGAAAAAGTTATCAAGCCACCAGCACTGATATTTTTCTCTAGAAAAAATTGTCAGGACCCAGGGATGATATATGTTCTATGAAAAAATTCTCATGACCTGAGGACTAATATTTTTCTTAAGACTAATTTCTTTCTTTTCCAGGACTGATATTTTTTCCTAAAGAAAAAATTCTCAGGACCCTATGATTGGTATTTTTTCTAAAGGAAACAAATTATGGACACCAGGATTGATATTTTCTCTATAGAAAAAAATCTCAGGGCCCCAGAGCTGACATATGTTCTATAAAAAATTTCTTTAGAAACAATTCTTAGGCCCCCAGGACTTATATGTGTTCTTAAAAACTCTCATGACCCAAAGACTAATATTTTTCTTCAAAACCCATGGCTTGATAATATTTTCTATAGTAAAATTCTCTAGATCACAGGATTGATATTTTCTCTATAGAAAAAACTCTCACGAACCCAACCTCATCTTCGACAAATATTCTCTTCTCTTGGCTTCCATACATGTCATCATCCATACAATATCATCCCACTGTGATAATTACTGTTACACATAGATGTGAAATGTTTGTCTATTTCTTATGGAATTTCGAACAAAGTTCATGCATTTCAAGGACCCAACCCCAGTAATAACGTTTTTGGAACGTTCAGGACAGAAGCATTGTCCTTTCAGTGATAATTACTGTTAAAGGTATTTCCTACACATAGATGTGAATTTTTTGTGGTATCATAAACTATTATAATATATCGATTCAGCTCTTATTACAAAGATCTAAGCCAACCGGAACTATCTAGGGTGATTATATCAGAAAGAAACTTAGGGCTGATAAAAATTGCGAAACTGAAAATCGTACTTTCTTTAAAAAATATGATTTGAAAAAATTCTATATTGGACCTCCTTGGAAATTTGCTTTAGGTAACTTATTTATTTTTTCTATAAATGCAAAAATTATTACTTTAAATATGTTTTTTTGTAATTTATACAGTTTTAATGTAGGTATGATATTTATAAAACAATAATTTACTTAGTTTATTTCTTTTAATTATTTTTTTTCCCAAAAAGATGTCAATGTCTAAACACCAATCGAATTAAAACCTAACTACATTAAGTGTTTTTTCAATACATTTGAATTTACAAAACTCTCAATGTTACAATTTCACAACTACTACCCTTTTTTATACACCTTACACTTTTTATATAATTTATTATAAAATAAAATCCTCCCTATCCCATAAACACAACCTTTTAAGCAAAAAACCTTAAAACAAAAATGAAATTAACCCAAATTTATATAAATTATTCTTCTTCTAATTTTTTTATATGTCTCTCTCTCTCGTTTTTTGCGTGTAACCCAAAACGAAAAATGCTGTACTAAAAAAACAAAACTAATGCCTGAATTGCTTGTGCTAAACTACCATCCATTAAATGTGCAAAATAAAAAATGGAACTCCGGATAAAAATTGCAAAAAAAAAATCCAACCTTGAATTCCCCCTCTGTTACAAATTGAAAAAAAAAACATGCACCATTTAACCATGCTTGCACTTTGCCAACCAAAAATAAATGTGCAACATTAAACCATAACTGAACTAAAAAAATAACAACAACCACTACGATATAAAATAAATAGTTTACTACTCCTACGACTCCTACAAATTTTAATAACAACACAAATGTGGTGCGCAGTGTACCACGACCCAAGAGACTCAATGGAAATATCAGCCAAACAGCCAACAACTACTACGATGAACAAGAAACCGATTCTCCGCACACACAGCACCAGCAACAACAACAGTATTATCAACAGCAGCAGCAACAACATCAATACAGTACCATGCCATATAATCGCCAACTAAATTCGGCCCAGCAGAACAACAACACGAACTCCCGCAATGATGGACTCGGTTTCATTGTCCACAATAATACACTGACAGCCAACACTTTGCAACATAATCAGAATGGTGGTCCATCCGGCAGTCCAAATCCCCATCAAATGGCATATAATCTCAATAATTGCTTCCCCAAAAGTTACACCGAATACTATCAAAGTCAACAGCAACAACAGCAGCAGCCGCATCATCCATTCCCACAAAAATACGGCAGTAGTCCCTCGGCATCGTTGGGCGCCAACAATCCCAGCCAGCTTAATGCCATCGAACATGATTTCAACACGTATGCCGTTGTGGAGCGCCCCCACAACACACCCGCCTCTTCGGTGTCCTCATCGTCGGCGGGTGTGGGCCGCACCACAAATCCATTCTTGGCAGTGAGCAATTTCAAGAAATTTGATACCTCCGGTGATGAGGAACAGAACAATGGCGGGGCGAATGGCAGTGGCAGCTATCAGACCACCTCCATGAAGCGTCAAGGCAAACGCAAAACTTTTGTGGATAAATTGGAGGATAAGCGTTTCTACTCCTTGAAATTTGCCGGAAACAAACACAAACAGGCGGCAAACAAAAATGCCCCCTTGCATTTGAATGCAGCCCTTATCGGTGAGGCGAATGGGGTGAGCGCTGGCCGAGTCCATGAGGATGTCTTTACCGGGAGTGGAAGTGGTCGGGCCACCGATGCGGGTATGTTGGCCTCATTGCTTAGCGGTTCGGTGGGCAACAAATGCAAACGTCATCATTCTTTTGCTGGTGGTAGCCTTGGCGATATTGAATCCAAGGGCCCTGGCCTACGAAATGGCCTGCATTTCTATGATCCTCCGGCCTATGAAAATGTCAATGATGCTGTCCAGGTGCATGCCTCTGCCGCCATGAGTGACATGGAGCTGCCAGATCCCATGTCCTCGGCTGGTACCGCAACTGTTCTCCTGCACCCTTTGCCAGCCTATTCCACCCACAATGGTAACCCGAGTGGTGGTGGTGGCGCTGGAGGATCACAGGGTCCAAA